TCATTTTTCAGTTACATACAGTGTGTATGTGAAAGATCATTCAGTGGCACAATGAAATTCCTTGCCATTGGGCGTCACTGCCACTAACAAAAGAGACTCTATTATTTCTCAATTACGTTTGATTGAAACACGGAACATATCAATGCCAAAGTGATGCAGACATAATTGCTCTTAGTCCAGTTACATTTGATTGCTCCAGCCATACTGACTTAATTACCATTACTCAATTACTTATGAAAACGATGAAACATTGCAATTTCTATCACCTTGATGCGTATAATGGAGGACTCTTCTCACTATGTTTTATGTTTATTTCAACTCTATCCCATCTTCTCCCTCTCTTGTGGGTATTATATTTTTCTTTTTGTATCCTATGTCCTTAGCATAGCTCTGGAGGATTTAAGAAGAGCTCTGTAGTAAAATGAGAAAGTAATAAGATTTGCCAATTTAAGGAATAATGTTATTATGTTGTATACAGAAATACATGTAACATTGATATTTCTTTCTCCGTGTTAATATTTTTCTTGAAAGAAACACACACTATATGCACCTTAATATGAGATTTAAAAAAAATGCAATCCCCCCCCCCCCAAAAAAAAAAAAAAAATGCAATTTATCATTTGACAATGTATTGCCAATTTAAGAAGCGAAATGCTAATTTTCCTGCAAACATATATAGATGGGCCAACACAAAAGTACACTCCTGACTGGGTATAACCCTGTTTCTGCGGAGAGTCACACCTAGGCAAAGTGATTATGGCATGACCAGAACACAAATAATAGATGAGGGGGACGAGGAAAAGTAGGTGTGGGATGATGGATCGACTGATGTGAATTGACAGGAAGAAAAAAATGAGAACTGCTGACGGAAAAGCAATAAATTTTGTTCTCTGGTTGTTGTTCAGTATGTGGGTGTGATGGGATGAACAACAAATTAAGATTATGGAATGAATGGCTGCCTACATATGAAAGTGTTCATGAAGAATTAGGCATTCATATTGTTGTACTTTTCTTTAAGAACATGACCCCCAAGAAAAAAAAGTCTAAAAACAGTGTAAATATGAAGTATAAAGATGTTCACAAGTGAGCAATTGCCCTCATAATTGCTTGATATAATTTTTTCCTAACCTAGATTTTGTTATTGTTGCTGTGAGGTCATTGCAAGTAATTCTTTATATATTTCTCATTTGAATGAGAGTGAGATATTTTAGTTGGGTCTGGAAAAGGAAATGATCAGGTGAGATTAACCCTCGATAAAACGAGGCCATCCCGTACTCTTTGTTTGTAGGGAAGTGTTCATCTAGCCATTTTTTTTTTTTGGGGGGGGGGTGGGGGAATCAGCATTACTTGGTGAACTTGAACACAAAAAGAACAAGAACATGGAAAAATATGAGAGAGTGTAATCTATTTTACATGTTTTTTTTCCATTTTTAACAAATCTCTTTTCCTCTTCTTCTTCTTGTGGGGGGGGGGGGGGGGGGGTTCCCCATCACCTATGTGGCTACGTGGCTACTGCTTATTACCAAGCAGCATATTGTTTCCTCAATTCAGAGAACTTGTTTGTTTCTGAAAGGCCATCAAATGCAAAGTGTGTCTCCTCAGGCCCCAATAGAATATTTTTACCGCTGTTTTTCCAGGATAAAAGGAAAAACAGATAAAATCTGTCCTTCAACTAGTGAGGCCTCATGGATCCTGTTGCCATGTTGGAATTAAAAATGAGTACCCTGGTAATTTTCATGATGAAAATGTGGAAATACAGTATGATTCTACATGGAAAAACAATCATTTGTTGGCAATTGTTTTGGATTTTTTTTTCCCCTTTGTAGTGTGATCAACGTTTTTAGTAGAGTTACTATTCATGTTATGAAAACATATTGAAAAATAAAAAAGAAGCATCTTGGAAACGTCTCATCAAGTTATGGTATAAACAATTTTCTCAATGGTGCGAGTAAAACGAGTTTCTAAATACTAGACATTGAACTCTTTTCTTAAAACTGCTTTGACAAGCAAGTTGTATTTCTGTAACAGAAATTTGATCAAGGGCATTCTAGATAAGGTGCAAAAATAATTTGTTGTAATCTGTCGCTGTCAAAGGAGCATCACAATATGAATAGCCACATATTTCTACCATGTTTCAACTTAAATTACCCATTTTAAAAGCTTAAACTTCATTCATTGGAACATTTTAAAGCTTTAGCCTCTTTTTTTTTCTCTCTGTGAAATGCAGGAAATGTTCTTTACATGCATAATCTCTGGAAGCCCATCAAGGTTTATCTCGCGTGGGTGTGGGTGTGTGGTGTGGGTGTCGTACGTTGGTTGCGGTTTCATCTTGTGATAACCGGGAGGGCATTGAACTATTGTTGTGAAGATAGAGATGTTAACACGACCATGGAACCCACCATGATGCAACTCACCATGATGCAATATTCAATGCTGTTGCACTTCTCGTTTTGCTTTTAGGCCTAAAATAAAAACTTGTTGCATTGCCCTTTGCGACCGACCCAAAAATCTGAAATCTACGGTCAGCATTTTAAAAAAGTTTTTTTTTTTACCGTTTTTTTTAGATGTTGTTATATTAATGAATACAAAAATATGTATTTTGTTTGTTTAAATGGGAATAAATGCATAAAATCAGATTATTCCCAAATTCTCACCCGTCTTTTGCCCTAGTTTTAAAATCCTAATATACGAGTGTAAGTAGACCCCGGCCTCTTGTACGTGTTTATAGTTTAATACCATACACTGCACCAGTTGGAAAACTGAGAAATATCAGCCAAAAGAGGGCGGGGAAAAAAAAAAGAAAAAAAAAAAACATCAAAAGTTGAAAAATATCGGCCCAAAGAGGGCGACGAAAAAAAAGTTTAAAAAAATAAAATCTTTTTCGACCGACCGACCCATGTTTTGGCACTAAAGGGCAATGCAACAAGTTTTTATTTTAGGCCTTATCTTTAAAAAAAATAGAATTTTATCCTTTTTTTATAATTTTAAATAATTTTTTAACTTGAGTATAAAAAAAAAAGTATTTAAACATGTATAGCTTTATAGATTTGGAACAGGAGTGTGCTTTTACTCTGCATTCTATTAATTGTATGATATGAAGCAAATTCTTTTCCAAGCTAAATGAACAGCATAACAACAGAAATAGTATAATTCAAAAGAAAAGATAAATAAAGAACTATTAAAACTGGAAAGTATCTTCCAAGATGAATTTGTAGATGATTACGGCTTTGCTAAACAGACCTATAAGAGATGTAAATGTCTCTGTTTTTATAGTTTTCATGCGTTTAGAAAGAGTTATGAACATAGTGTCTAATGTGAACTTCATTTTGATATTGACAATCATTCATAGTACCTTTGTTGCCCTGATATGACTTTCTAAACAAGATGTTACATCTTTAAAGCCTATCTGCACTAGTTTTGCCAGAAGGGATTAGTCACTGGTAGGTGGTTATCCCATCAAATCATCTCTCACTTGACATAAGAAAAAGGGGACCATGGGGGATCAATGGGTACCGATTAGGCATTGTTGGCTGTATAGAGGGCGCAAGTAGCTAAAAGTAGTGCAGTCCCGCTTTAAATGCCTGTAAAACATGACCTTTTTTCCAATCAAACTGCGAGGAAATGACAAGACGTTCCAAATGTCAATCAGAATTTGTAGAGAGCAATTATGGTTAGCAAAGGTAATGTGTGAAAGAGTTTGTTGCAACTGTGGCATTTTCTCGCCTTAAATTGACCTTTGGCTTTTTTTCAATAGTCTGACGAAGAAGATGCGTCCTTTTTTAGAGGTTTTACGCAGTAGAGGACTAGAGGTGTCGTAGTCAGGTGGTTAAAGCACTTGACTTGAAATTCAAAGGTCATGGGTTTGATCCCCATCACAGCACTAATGTTCTTTGGCAAGTCGTTAATCTACATTTGCCCCTCCCAGGAGGAAATGGGGACCTGGTAGGATGACAAAAGCCTTATTTGTGTTAGTAATTGCCATATGCCCTCACGGTGACCATTTGGTAGGAATACTCCCCAAAGAGTGTAGATGGTTCACATTGTGCGTGAATGAATCCTGTGACCAGGGTAATGATATCTGTAAAGTGCTTAAAGACGGTATTTCATATTAAGTGCTATATTAATCCAGATTATTATTATTTCTTGAATACTCTATTCACATGACATCTTAAGTGATTGTAGTTGGTCCCATCTGTCTTCTTTCGTCCAGTAATCATGTTTTTTTTCTTCTTCATTTGCTCATGCATCCTTTCTGGAAGACACCATCCCGTCTCATATGAAGGAATCATGCACATACAGTTACAACTAAATTATTCATACCCTTACCAAGTTTTGTAATTTTTAAGTATGTGAAAATTTGATTTGTTCCAATTTATGTTTTTTGAGAATGTGACCTATTAAAGCTTACATCTCCATTTATTCAACAAAGGCCGTAATTCAACCCGATCACTGTTCATTCTTGAGTTACAAAAAAACAAAAAAAACATCAAACTTACAAGGGGTATGAATGATTTGGTTGTTATCTGTAAGTTTAAAACCCACTTCACACGTACGTGTTTAAACAGGTACCTTTGGACTGGGTTACGGTCTGGCAATTGCAACACCTGTCTTTCCTGTTATTTAAATAAAGATCAAAGTGTATAGAAGTGCTATGGTAGTGATATGCACTATAAAAGTAGTAAAGTACTATGGTGTTATTAGGGTGTTTGGGGGCTACTTTTTTAGCTCAGTTTGGAAAAACCACCCTATTATCTCCTGCAGTTTGAGACCTGGGACCCGTTTCACAAAGTCTTTTTCAATGACAAATGACAAAAATCAGTGACAAATCTTCTGATAACCAATCAGAAGCAAGGATTTCAGTAGCTTATAACATAAACTGTAATTTGTCACTGATGACAAGTTTTGTGAAATGCCCCCCCCCCCCCTGGTGATTATCAATGATATGAAATGTAAATTAATCTCATAATTGTTCTCCTTTTTTTTGTCTTTTCTTTCTCTAGCCTGAAAACTTGTTGCTAGCGAGCAAGTTAAAGGGTGCTGCGGTCAAGCTTGCTGATTTTGGTTTAGCCATAGAACTGGACAATGGAGAGCAGTGGTATGGTAAGAATCATAATTTCCTTCAAATCCATCATGAGTTACTTCTTCAAAAGTATCTGTAAAGCTTGTCCTCATCAGCTCGAGTCTGCCAAATAACCTGCTATTTTCAGACTCGGGATAGTATCCCGAAGCCCGAAGCTCGAAATTGGGTCTTCACCAGACCGATACGCTCATCACAAAGTAGATCGGAAACAAGACCAAGATTTCTTGGGATATTCTATCGACCAAACATCCCGCTAATTGCAACTGCATGCTGATGAAGACGCAAATTAACTGGTTGATTTGCGATCGGGATAGTTAAAATAGCGGGTTATCTGGCAAACTCGAGCTGATGAAGTCAGGCCTAGAGTGTTGCAAGTGTTCCAGAGCTTCTTGTCAGAGTGTATCCCTCAGTCACGCCATGAGATTGATGCCAGACTGAATGGAAGATTACATAACCCTGAAGAGTCTATCGGTTTTGGAGTCAACTTGGTGCTGTGACAGGATATCTATTTGGGGGATGGAGAGGGGTGGAGGGGGGGGGGGGGGAGCTGTTGACTTGTCACTTGTTGTGTCTACCAACTTTTTCATTATTGTCTTGTGACATACTTAAACTGTAGAGTCTGTTAATTTTATAATAACAGTACAAAGTACAGTCAAACCTGCTTTACTATAAACCACCTGTCTACAAAGACTACATTTGTTGATTCCCTTGAAAATGGTTTCCTATTAAAACATGTTCTATTAAAAGGAACCTGTCTACAAAGACCACTTTTTGTGTTTCCTTGGGCGGTCACTATAGACAGGTTTGACTGAACTAACTAAGTACAGAGTTAAAATTAATTAATGTCAAGTAATATGGGGAGAGGGTCCTAATATTATGAAACATAAAGACTGTTTGGACTTTGAAACAAGTTGCATTTTTTATGAGCTGATTTGGCTGCTACGTCATAAGAACGTTGGGAGGGTAGGCAAAACACTGACAGAAGTGTTAGTTCCTCTGTATAAGTTCCTTTAAAGGCATCGTTTATTAATGTTAAATCTGAGATGCATGGCCTTACGTGACATCAGTGTCTGTGATGTGGTGTAATATTGAAGCCCTAAAAAAAATTGCCTTTCAAAAGTAAAAATCTTTGAGTGACCGGTTTTACCATACTCATTTTCCCCAATAGACTGTAATGTTATGAAAACTGTTAGCAAAACGAAAAATGAAATTTCGATTACCAATCATAAATTTCTCGATAATCAGACAGGCGATCGGCTTGTAAAAGTCATGGGTTTCTGACTGACCTAAAGGTTTACAATTAAGATTGCAACATGAGCTAAATCCAGGATTTTGTTTCAGAATCTGAGGTAATGTTACCGAGTCACTTTGAATGGTGTAGATGTGGACTGATCAAACCCATGTTGTTTGCTTTTCTTGCAGGCTTTGCAGGAACACCAGGTTACCTATCCCCCGAGGTGCTCAGGAAAGACCCCTATGGCAAACCAGTTGACATATGGGCCTGTGGTAAGTAGAAAAGTGCTTTGCAGATTTGGGGGGTGTTTCACAGAGATTCTAAGTTGGACTTAAATATTATGGAGAGCCATTTGTAGCCTTAGAATAAAATATATTCAATAGCGAAAATTCAAGTATTTTAGATTTTTTTTTATAAATTCCACATCAAGAACATGAAATCTCTTTGATAATAGAAAATATGAATAATTTGAATCAACATGTGATGCTTTTTAAAATAACTTTTACAAGTATTTTCAAGGAGGATAATGGCTTTCCATAATTGTTAAGTCCAACTTAGAGATAAGTTCAACGTAGGATCTTTGTGAAACACCCCTCTGGTGTTAAGTATTATCTGGTGCCCAATGGAAGGATTAAATGTTATTGTTAGTATACTGCCATATTGGTTACCTATGTGTATCCTGAGAGGTGTTCATGAGGACCCCTATGCCAAATCTGGGCCCCGTCTTATAAAGAGCTGCTTATTTGTAATTGACTTCAATCGTAACTATGTCCATAAGAGATAGGAGACTGCAAACTTGCGAAGGATTGGAGGGCCCAGTTCACCTATATGGGCTTACGGTATCTGAATCTCTATAATGATTTAGTATTGTTAAAAGTAGTCACCTGAAGACTCAATAGTGTTTCAAATTTAGTGCTGCAAAATTCTTATCATTGCGAAGGGGAAGCCTTACTGACCAAATATACCAACTTCCCTCTTCAAAATATGTTTGGGGCCCGCAGTAATCAACTCTCAAAAATGTTAATTTTGAGATCCAAATTTTCTGCCTTCAGCGGTCCTCCGTAGAGCGTATCGTCACATGCGAGACACAGCTAGCTTCAAAATTGCTTTTTACGCCTTTCCATGATATCTATATGATTTTCCAGTAAATTCTTTGTGTTATTCAAGAGAAAATCTTTCCATCCATATATAATTTGTTCATAATTATCAGTTGTCATGAATTTTTTCGGGTGACTACTTTAAGTATTATCTGGTGTAACTATGTTTTGACAATTTGTAAAGAAAAGAATGCCGGGGATAAAACCAGAAAGGTGTTTGTTGGTCGTGAGCACTGTCCAGAAACCTTGGGGTATAAAACCATGTCATTTGACAAGTCTGTAGCTTAGAATGAAGGAAGGTGAATAGGGACTGTTTCACAAATACTAATATCAACTTTAGGTTGGACTTAACTATGGCAAGCCTTTCATGCCACTGTTTACTCTCATTCACCTTTATGATCTTTAGATGATATTTTCCTTCAATAATGAATTATCAAAAAATGTAAATTATCTAGATTTGTGACCATATGTGTATGTCCCTTGAGAAACAAATGCCAGTAAATGGTGAGAGCAAACAGTGGCATGAACGGCCTGCCATAGTTAAGTCCAACTTAAGTTCGATCTCAGTCTTTGTGAAACACCCCTCTGGTAGTCCTCTATTATATTGTCTGCTGAAAGCCAGAAGGGCAGTAACTCAAAGAGTTAACTCCCTTCTTGCTCTTGTGATATGCTTCATGTTACATGTAAAAAGTAAAAAAGCATCCCCTGAATACATGGAATAGCTACAATTGTTAAAAATCTACTATAGTTACAAAAACATGTCTGTGTTATTGTATCATTAAAACTTAGCAAATGAGGGCCTCTCTTAGTAAACAGCCCTCTGGGTTTCGGCATGTGATATATCGATCAGGAGGAGTTGCCATAAACCTTTGTGTGTAATATTTCTCTTGCTGTTTGCTTTGCTCTCCTGCAGGTGTTATATTATATATACTTCTGGTTGGCTATCCACCATTCTGGGACGAGGATCAACATAGACTCTACTCACAGATCAAAGCTGGAGCGTATGATGTAAGCAAATGAAATGTTGACTACCCCCTTCCCCCTCCCCCTTTCCCCTTTCCCCTTTCCCCTTTCCCCCTCCCCATTTCCCCCTCCCCATTTCCTCCTCCCCATTTCCCCTTATTCTGCAAGCACATACTCTAATCTGATGCAAGTCTTAAAGCCTATCTGCACTAGTTTGGCCAGGAGGGATTAGACCTCCCTGCATGGTCACTGACAGGTGGTTATCTCATCAAATCAGCTCTCAATTAACATAAGAAAAAGGGGACCATGGGGAACAACTGTCAGCATTGTTTGCTATATAGAGGGCGCAAGTAGCTATAATTAGTGCAGTGGGGCTTTAAAGCCTTGAGCAGAGCCTAGATGTAACAAGTTTTTGGCTAATTTGACACTTTACCATAATTCTTAAGGCCTTTTGTAGAGTCTAGATCAGACAGTTTCTGGCTGTGTCAAATAAGGAAAGTTACAGAGCCTATTGTGATCTCATAGTGAAGACATGGTTTACACACAATGAATGACAGCGGTTTGTGCCTGTGAATTACCTCCCTCCCTCTTCCACCTCCCTCTTCTACCTCCCTCTTCCCCTCCCTCTCCCCACTCCATCTTCCTGGGTTTCTGGGAACATTGATCTTTTAATGGAACACTGATGCTATGATGCATTGTGGAGGAGATGTAAGACAAAAAAAGAAGAAGGGATAAAAAGGGAAGAGAGAGATTTAGGGAGTAGGGAGGGGGAGGGGAGAGATGAAGCGCAGTGAAGAATAGTACTCGACAGAAAAGGGGAGAAAAATAGAAATGAAAAAGCAGAATAATCAAAGATGGCCCATGCACAATGGAACAAATGCAGACAGTCAAAGAATAATGAAAGTAGATTCAAATGATGATTCTATGAACGGAAGGAGGCAGATTAGAAGGATAAAAATGTGCATGCATATGACTCAAGAGGAGATTGTGATGTTTAGAACATTTTAGTAATATAACTGGGGGAAATAGAACAAGATTATAATATGCCCTTGCCCGAGAAGATAAGGAAAGACTGATAAAGGACAGGAAACCAGAGTATGCTCTTGTTTATGGTGTGAAGATCAACCTAATGTATTGTTTGGGGGAAGTCAGAGCACGATACAGGAGTAAGAGTTTGGCCTACTTGTTCACAACAGGTTGTAAGATGGTGCTTGCCTGACAAAGCTTCATGATGGACTACATTGCTACCAATTTGTAAATTGCTTGCAGGAGTCTTGTTTCATTGTTTTGTCTCAACGTTTGTCTCATTCCTTAACAAATGTAATATCTAAACATATTTGTGGCTTACACCCAGTAAATAAGATCAATTGATCGATCTGCATTGAAGAAAAAAAAACAAGTCAGAAAAAATCTTGGAACCAGCGGGACTTGAACCTGCATCTACTGCTTGCCGGGCAGTTACTCTACCACCAGGCCATCACTGGTCTGTGGCACAGTAACAACGAACTAGAATCAAATACCCAAGCTCTCCTGATTTATTCTGACTTATTAATTAATGTTCATTAGTCCGCCATAGGACAATAACTGTATTGAAAAATACAGATCGATCAATCGATCTTATTTACTAGGTGTAAGCCACAAATATGTTTAAATAAATGAAATTTCTCCCAGGAAGCATTACATTTATAAAATGTAATATCATCTTTCAATGCTTCTGTATTTCCATTTTTTCCCCAGTACCCTTCACCAGAATGGGACACAGTGACACCTGAAGCAAAGAACTTGATAGATAGCATGCTGACAGTCAACCCAGGAAAGCGTATCTCTGCCTGCCAGGCTCTAAAACATCCATGGATCCAGGTCAGTATCCGCTTTATGTTCCTCTGGTCTTGATGTCGTATGTTCCAGCGACATTTGTTATAGGTTCTATTTAATCCTAGATGTAATATACAGTCAAACCTGTCTATAGCGACCGCCCAAGGGAAACACAAAAAGTGGTCTTTGTAGACAGGCTCTAAAACTTCCATCGGTTCGGGTCAGTATCTCCATGTTCCTCTGGATGCTCCAGTGACTTTTGTTGTAGGTTTTATTTAATCTTAGATGTAATATACAGTCAAACCTGTCTAAAGCGACCGCCCAAGGGAAACACAGAAAGTGGTCTTTGTAGACAGGTTCTAAAACATGCTTGGATTCAGGTCAGTATCTCCATGTTCCTCTGGATGCTCCAGAGACATTTGTTCTTGACACTATTTGATCCAAGATGTAGCATATTAGGGTTAGGGTTGCAGGTAAGTGTCTTTATGTTTGGGTGTCTTGGTCTAGTGGATATAATAGCATGCTGACAGTCAATCTAGGAAAGCGTATCTCTGCCTGCCAGGCTCTAAAGCATCCTTGGATCCAGGTCAGTATCTGCATGACAAATTTAAAAGACACAAAGACATATTGATAAGTATTGGTGGGAGCATCACTTTGATCTCCCATGACTCCACTCCTGTGCATGTGCAGTATAACATTCCCACAGGCTAAACCAAGAAGCAGCGACTAGGAATTACAGGCCAGCACCTTCTTCCCGTACCAGATGATGATGATGATGTTCCTCTGAATGTGCCAACAGATGCTCCAGCGACATTTGTTCTAGACATTATTTAATCCAAGATGTACCATATTAGGGTTAGGGTTGCAGGTAAGTGTCTTTCTGTAGGGGTGTCTTGGTCTAGTGGATATGCTGTCGGACCGTGGATCACTAATGTCCTTCGGCAAGACATTAATCTACATTCGAAACTCTCCATCCAGGTGTTAATATTGGGCAACTACAGTTTTGGAGAAGAAATGATTCAGGAGTGCCATTCAGATTTGGATAGCTGTAATTTGAAGGTAGGTAAGAGTGTCTATCAGGTATCCTATCATTGATGGATAAAAGTGAGTTCTTTCGGTTTACTTGGACATGAAGGAGGTCTGTCAGGTTTTTTATCATCGATTGATACAGGTGAGTTCTTTAGGTTTACTTGGACATGAAGGAGGTCTGTCAGATTTCCTATCATCTATGGATACAGGTGAGTTCTTTTGGTTTACTGGGACATGAAGGAGGTCTGTCAGGTTTCCTATCATCTATGGATACAGGTGAGTTCTTTTGGTTTACTTGGACATGAAGGAGGTCTGTCAGGTTTTCTATCATCTATGGATACAGGTGAGTTCTTTTGGTTTACTTGGACATGAAGGAGGTCTGTCAGGTTTCCTATCATCGATGGATACAGGTGAGTTCTTTTGGTTTACTTGGACATGAAGGAGGTCTGTCAGGTTTCCTATCATCGATGGATACAGGTGAGTTCTTTTGGTTTACTTGGACATGAAGGAGGTCTGTCAGGTTTCCTATCATCTATGGATACAGGTGAGTTCTTTTGGTTTACTTGGACATGAAGGAGGTCTGTCAGGTTTTCTATCATCTATGGATACAGGTGAGTTCTTTTGGTTTACTTGGACATGAAGGAGGTCTGTCAGGTTTCCTATCATCTATGGATACAGGTGAGTTCTTTTGGTTTACTTGTACATGAAGGAGTCTCCACAAGACAAGTTGAGATGTTCTTGGGATGCTCTTTGAGTTTGAGTAGTGTTAATTTGATGGACCATTTATTGATAGTCAAGGAGGGCTAGAGGGACATTAGGCTTCCAAAGATCAGTGGATTCATGCAAGGAAGTTTATTACCTGATCATCATATTAAAAAAAGGCTGTGATCTACCAAATAAAACACATTTCCAAACAATTATATCTTCTTGACACTAGTCAAGGACATGACGTACTGTTTACTGATATTTAACAAAGGTAAGAATGTTTATAAAAACGAGTTCAAGAATGAAGGCAATTTAATTGGTCAAATGATACCATGTGACCATGCATCATTCTCTCTTACCACACCTACCTTTTACTGTGCGAAAAAATGTCCATGGCTAAAAGTAATAATGCACGGCTGAGATGGGTGTACATGTTTATCTGTGGCATGTACAAATTAAGATGCCATCTTAGGATAGGGTTCAATGAAATGAACGTAGCTGCAAATGGCACAGACACTGTAATTCACTGAAATTTTATTTGGCAAAGAATATTTAAATATCAGGATCTCAAACTTCCGAGGATAGCACTTCTGTTCTTAATTGAACAGCGATCGCCCAATGGAAACACAAAAAGTGGTCTTTGTAGACTGGTTTGCGTCGGCGGCCATTTTAATCGGTTATCGTGGCCTATTACAAGTACTCGGTAGGTGTATATTCAGGAACATGTAGACTGCTATAATTATACTGTTAATGTCTGATGTTTTGTGCTTGAGGCAATATTTGAAAAATAGTTTCTTTGTATATATTTTTTCAATTAAATGATTGTTTTTATTCCATTTATTCAAATTAAAGTTGATGAACGATAGACTGCAAGTGAGTATAAACGCCATTCTCTTGTGGATTTATAAGGGCTCAGTCAAGCGAAAATGAGGCAGAAAGCCGATCTATAAATCAACGCAAGTTTTTTGGGGGGTGTTTAAAAATCAAATAAACAAAAAGTGGTACGGTTTTTAGTCGAAATAAAAATACGAAAAGATTTAACATATTTTTATTTCTTTAAAATTGTCTGTCATTAAAAAAAATGCTTATAAAAAATTATTTAAAAGAAATAAAAATGAACGAGCCTGAATGCTTGATTGACAGACAGCGGGTCCATATAAGTATAAGTTCGCAAATAAGCAAGGCATCAATCCCAAAGTTAATGAAATTGCTGCGTTATTGTTATGTATTTAATAGGCGCAGCCCTATAATGAATTTGCGAGAATATTATCACAACATTATCTAGGAGGTTCCATTGAGGATGCATGAATACTTTTTAAGATGTTGCCAATCAAAAACTGTTATCATTTTTTTTAGACGCCCATTATATCACTCCATTACAGATTTCCTTACCTATCATCTTTCTCTTTCTTTAGTTTTTTTTAAATATCTCATTCTTTCTCCATCTTTACACTCTTATCTGCTCTTCCACCTCCTGTGTTTTCTGTTATTCCATCTCTCTCTTCTCTCTCTACAGCTCATTGTATTATCTTCCCTATCACTCTTTCATTTTTCCATCACATTTTTTCTTGTTTATCTCTCTTTTCTGACTTTCAAGTTTCAAGTTGATTAATTTCCACTTTATCGGAAATAACATAATTGAACATATTATTCATAATAATAATATAACTAATCATACAATAAAGGAACATAATGTCCATCGTAATGGTTATAACAAAAGATAATCATAAGTATGATAATTACATTAAAAAAGCTAAATAAAGTGGGGGATCTACTAAAAAGCTTTCTCTCTCTTCCTTTTGTTTATGATATGTCATCTCATTCATCCCCTCTCTATTCTCATGGTGGCGGTGGTCGAGGTGGTGGTAGTATGCCTTCTTTACCCAGGGAAGCCTCATCAGTATTAATACTGTTCTCCCCAAGGACCTTGCAGTTATATCATTACCCCGGCTTTGCGTAAGCCGATTCTATAATGATCTTATCGTTTTAGAGAGATTCACTCAAAACAAAGCATCAAGCTCACACTTAATTCCAAACAATAGACTCTTCAAAGATCATTATTTCTTAATTGAGCCCTTGTCTACCTTCAGGGTCATTTTTATGATTATTCTCGTCATTGAAATCTGCCAGGGACCGAGTGGCGCAACAGGTTACCGAGCGAGCGATATGAAAACTGCATGGGATAATGTTATGTTAATTGGCTACGTCCCTTATCTATAATTACTTTCTTTAAGCATATCAAACTATATATTTTGAAGCTTTAGAGAAAATTTTCATTTTATTTTGGACATGGTGAAGGAACTAGAGATGGGTAAGTTTTGTCCTGCAAATAGTAGGCGTAGAGCAGGTACATATTGTTTTGATTTTAATTTAAATCGTTTGATTTTAATTTAATTTAAATGTCCGAGGAATGAGAGAAGGAAGACAGGTAAGGTAAAAATTGGTGTAGAGCGGAAAAACATTGTTTAATTATTCATTGTTTGATTATTCATTTATTTAGCGCTTAGAGACGTTCGTGGTAAGCGCTTTATAAGGAATGTTTTTATTTTTATTTTGTTATTCATAATCGAATATTTCAGAAGTGTTTTTGATTTAGGGACATGAGTGTTATACAAGAAGACATTATCATCCTTCGTGTAATTGTTATTATCATCATTTTCTTGAGAGGTTCTGGTTAAAACTATGGGCAAGAAAGGTGACTCGAATAGTTCTAACCAGTACTTTGGGAAGAAGGCAGGGTATCTTTGTTTTATATCCTACATCAACAATTTATAATCAAGCAAAATAACTCACTGACTCACTACTCAGCGTAGATTCTACGGCGTGAACGCCGTGACACCGCAGGAGTTGCCTACTGGAGGCATTTGAAATCCTGTACGCTTGATTAATTTTCAACTCCCAAATAGTAATTTTTCAGAACAAATTTAAATGGTTGAAGTATTTCTGGTCATGTGAAGAGCTCTCAACCAGTCAAAATCCAATAAATATTTGATGAAGGATATGTTTTTTATCATTATCATCTTATCATCATCATTATTGTTATTATCATTATCACCATAATTATCATCATCATTATTGTTATTATAATCATCTTCGTTGTCATCATCGCGTAGTCATAGTCGTCGTCATCATCATCGTCATCATCCTTATCTTTTTTGTTGTTATTAACATCATTATCATTCTCTTTTTTTTTTTTTTTCCAGAACCGAGATCGCTATGCTTCAGCAATGCACAGACAGGAGACCGTTGATTGCTTGAAGAAGTTCAACGCTAGACGCAAACTCAAGGTAAGCCTTTTAAAATATTTAGCAACAATCATTCCATGTTTTGTGGTTTGGCTCAATAAATTTTGATTCAGAGCCTTAAAAATGAGTAGAAAGGGCAAAATTTTCTGCACGCACTGCATCCATTTTTGTTTCTTGACTATATTGCGTTTGATGCTAGGAATAAATCGATCTCCAATCTCGCAATAAATCACAAGCTTATAAAGCCTAGCTTGTAAGTACAAAGTTGCTCTTAATGTATGATCAAGTTGAGTTGTACTTGATTCTGACTAGTCACAACTGATAGTATGGTGGGGGTCCTTGGCCCTGTTTCATCAAAACTTGTTTATCAATGACAAATGCTAACTTTCTATGGCAAATTTGTTATTTGTTATTGATAACAAGTTTGATGAAACAGGGCTCCTGGAATGAAATAGTTAATGTGCACAGGGCTAATATGATGATGATTATTTTACAGGCTCTACTTAACTCAAGTCTTGGTTAGAACAGGTGTTCAGTTTGGTCTTTATACAGTAATACCTGTAATATAAAAATCTCTCATGAGAGACAAAAAAAAACACAAAGCAAAACAGTTTTTGAAGGCAGGTTCCTTTAGTACATGTTTCAATCAGAAATATTGTTATTAAAACGAAACAACATGGATATATGGATGGTGGCCTTTGTATACAGGTGATCACTACAGAAGGCTTCACTGTGTATAGTTTGTACAGCTTGTCTTAACGTTACCTGCTGACATGACTCGGAATTGAACCCTGATCCCATAGTATACACGTACTAGAACATTGACCACTCAACCAACTAGTATCATACAGACCTTAAGGCGTGAATGTAGCTCAGAGTACCGTCTGGGCCTTCTTGTCAAAAGAGTTTTTTTTTAAAGTAACCTAAATTTGAACGCATCTTGATTTTTAACCAACAGGATCAAGTATTAAGGACTTGCATTTAATATTTTGAGTTGCATTTAAGTGCAGCTCTTTTTATGCAAGAGGTTCTGGGTCGATACTGCCACCGTGTGTGTGTATGTACATTTATTGGAAGAAACAAGATTTCAGCTGCGCTATTGAAAGATCGATTTAGGGCCCTCTTCTATCAAACTTTGTGTCAATACCAAATGCTAAAATTCTATGACAAATTTGCTCTCAACCAATCAAATGTTGAAATTACCATAGCTTTTAACAGAACATTTTCCAACTTGTTCTTGCTAACATGTTTTATGAAACAGGACCCAGGAGTTTTCTTTAAAATGATTTGTGATTACTGTGTATACATGAGTAGACAAGACAGTGGTTCTTATTTGGCATATCATATGAACTCATCAATTTTTAGTACTGTCTGCCCCCCCCCCCAACAATTATTCTTGGTTAGTGCAATATTTCCCAATGATATAACTGAACGTAGAAGTGGACCAGGGATTTCTTTCTTTTATTTGACCCATTTACATGATGTATTACCTCCATAAATACCCCCAAATTATCCATGGCGTAACCAGTTTCATAATGGTTTTTTTAAAGCAAACATGAGACAAATACCTTCTGCCCTTGGCCTCTGTAGGTGTTAGTCTACTGCCAAAATAGTTCAGACCCTGAATGGTTAGCCCGCAGACAAACAGTGTACTGTGAGAGGATAAACATGTCTCAAGGTCTTGGTTGCATTAGGCCTGTCTATATCAGCTCGAGATTGCCAAATATCCCGCTATTTGAACTATCCTGATCGCAAATTATCCGCGCCTTCATCAGCCCAAAGTTGCAACTAGCGGGATATTTGGTTGAGATAATCATCCCAAGATATCTTGGGCTTGTTTGCAAAATATCCCGCTATTTGTCTGGTACGTCTTCACCAGCCCGAAGACTCGCACTATGCGCGAACGCTGAGCAAAATATCTCGAGCTAACTTCTCGAGCTTGAGTTTCAAGTTTCGAGGTCAAGTCTCGAGCTGATGAGACTCGATTTGTAACTTCAGGATTATTTCCAAAATCGGAAATAGCAGGCTATTTAACAATCTCGAGCTGATGAGGACAGGTCTATTGATGAAATTTGTAAAAAGCCTGGTTGAAGCAAAATCTTGTTACAAAACTCACCTCCTTCTAACCCCCAAGTTTGCACTTTGTGTTATGAAATCTGTGTACTTTACGATTGGAAAGGCACTTTGTGTTCATTTCATAACTAGGGATCCCATGTTTTGTTTTTTCTTTTCATTTTTTCGATCAGCAAAACACAATCTTGTTTCATTTGTCTAATCTAATAAAACATTCTCGGCCTTGATGTTCCTCTCTTGGTTGCTAAGACATACAATTCCTGTTTTTCATTAGTTATTAAGTGTTCAACAATAATAAGAACAGTTTTTAGCTGATCAATGTACTGACAATGCTACTATAACATTAGGCACTGGATTCAATTATGATTCATGTGTAAGGACTTGACTTGAGTTGTCTGGCGCATGATTTTAGGCTCTCGGGCTCCTTAAAGGGACTTGGTAACATTGTTAAGATGAGAGATAGTGGTACTAAGGTAGTGACTTCAATGCTAGATGTACAATTAAAGATAATTTGAAAATTTTAGTGAAAACAGACCATTATTCAATCATGGTACAAATAGGGAAAAACTGATCTGATCGATTCCTTAATTCTCCCAACTATATTATTAAAATTCAATTACATTTTAGGTGAATGTAAATCGTCACAAAGCAATAAAATGGCTCTACATTCCATTCCAGACATTTAAGTGTTGACAGATTTTATATAGCCTGTTTTATGTCTGTTTTTCATGGAAAAACGGTTGGGAAAATTCAAAAATGGTTGGGAGAATTTACTGTTAATCACTGTTAGAGGGTGTCATACATCGACCTTTTCAAAGAAAACCATAGATATCTTTGTGGTTTGAGAATTTTTTCAGGATTTTTTGCATGTCAGAGGGTTAGTACAGTAGAAGGAATATAGTAAGTAACATTATATACAAAAATTAAGCAATTTTTTTCATCAACCTTCAACAATGTTACCAAGTCACTTTAACAGGCATCTGGTTTTTAATTAAACTCATCATAGAGATTTTTTATTTCCACTTATGCATATTTTACTTTCTTTCTTGAATTACTTGCCCACAATTATACAACTTCCACACAACTGCGCCAGGAGTGTCATTTTTGACAGACATGGCACATTACAAATGTTCTCTATTATTATTATTATTATTATGTATTCCCCTTGCTTTGTCCAGGGTATGATGTGCCCACTCAATTAAAGTACATGTAGTTGTACTATATCTTCATTTTGTATCACCTTCATCTAACAAAATTAATTGGGTTTTTTCCGTCCATCATCCAAAATTTATCTTACTCGTTTTAGGCATATTTATCATAGAAATTGGTGAAAATTTACATTTTGTGATCACCGCTCATATATATTCATATTCTTTTTCATCAAGTTGGCAATAAAGGGGCATGATTACAAAGAAATTATTTGAAATTTTAAATTATCTGCTAAGAGCCGAAAGGGCACCACAGGAAAATCCAATCTTAACGGTTTTTATAACACTACAGTCTATTAGGGAAAAAGAGTATGTAAAACCGGTCACTCAAAGATTTTTACTTTTTTTGAGGAACTTTATGATCACTTTGAAGCGCAATTTTTTAAGGCTTCAATATTACACCATAATCAAAGACACTGATAACACATAGGGCCATGCATCTCAGACTTAACATTGTTAACGATGCGTTTAACTCATATCTTTTGACCCAAGTATTGAGCGTATGGCCTTTAAGGTTCACCATGCTTGGAGCAGTCCTTCAGCTGTGCATGTACTCACCAGACAGACATCAGGCTTCATTGGTATGACAAGTACTGACAATGAACTTTTCATATCGACCTCACTTATACCTACATATCAACAACAGATAGCTGCCATTAGCGTGATATGTGATGCTACCAGCTAGCTAGCCTCCAGGCACAGACTTAGACATTAAACACAATCAACTCAATAAAGCCTTGAGCTGAGCCTAGCTCTGTCACTCTCTGGCTGTGTCAGGAGCACTTATAGCACAGACCCTATGGGGGTGCAGTAGACCGTGCAGTGGGCATAGTCTCTTATGTCAGACACTCTCTTGTACACAACGACCGACAAGGGTTTGCATCTGCAAAGTAAAGACTAGCTGCCATTTATGTCATGTATGATGTTGCATGTACATTGTGTGCTATACATTTGAAGTTGTGTCTCCTCAACTGATATTGAAAACTGGTTGATGCAATGGTACCATAATGTATTTGCCTGTAAGCAGTCGTTGGTGGGTAGTTTGGAGGGGGAGGGAGAGGGTGGTGGTGGGGGGGGGGGGGGGGGGCAAGGGGTGCGATAGATGTTGAGGGAACAGGGAGATGAGAGTTTGAGGTTTTAGAAAGATTAAAGTAGGTAAACTCCCTGTCTTCTCTAGATTAGTTTAAAGAGAAAAATGGTGAGATATCATGAATCATAGCCAATCATCGTTATTTTGCTGAAAATGACCTGGCAATATTTAGTTTGCAGTCATCGTGCATAACAACAGACTATAATAGGATTCATACTTTAGCCAATGCTGACACAGCCAGAAACTGACAGATCTAGGCTCTTTTCAAGGCTTAAGAAATGGTGGTAAAGTGTCAAATTAGAGTCTGTTCTTGCAGACTAGGCAATATTTGGGAAGGATGAAGGGTAGAATAAGCCGTTTTCACAGACGAACAAAAAAACAACATCTTTTTAAAATTTAATTTCTTATCATTTTATAATGCATCTTCTTCATGAAATGCAAAATTCATCTAACAGGAGAAAAAAGTAGAATGGATTATGATTATTATATTTCAAATAAAATAACAGTCCAGGTAAATAAAGAGAAGTGTTATGGAAATATGGGTTTTCAGAAATTTCTTAAATGTTGTGAGAGTTTGGAGAGTTTCGGTTACCGGTATGTGATATCCTTAATTAGTGGGAACCATTGAGTATTGGGGGAGGAGTTAGAAGGTTTACATGAAGATGATATTT